ATTAAAAATTTTTTGTTCGTTTTCATCACATATCCGGCAATGCTCCTATTTATTTTTGCGCGTACTTTTATTGCGCAAAAACATTTGAAATTCTGTGTAACCAATACAACGTAAATTTTGCAAAAAAATGTCAGTGTTCTATCGATAAAGTTTTCAGCGTCAGCATCCCCTTAAGCGAGTCGATGTTAATGAGAAGTGCAATAGACGCTGCGACAAGCATCGGCTGTGTGTATCGAAAATCAAGGGGATTACTTTCTAATAACGTACTCACGATACATCTCGACCATCGCACATCGCTATTTCGGCATTCCCGATACTTATTTCCGCGCCAGGCTCACTTTCAATAGATAAAAGATGCGTAGAACGCGGAGCGATGTCGATCGTGATGTGTCTGTGGAGGCTGCTCGTCGTGAAAAGATCGATATCCAAGATCGCGCAATCACCGATGCAGTGCCGAAAGTGCGCGCCAAAACGTGAACGATGTCGCGGTTCGACAAGAACGCGCTCTAGTAGCTATGCCTTTCTCACTCTCGCTGACGGACCGACCGCGCGACATCCGACGTTGCGTGTATCTCTAGCGTCGTTTTGTCTTTCTTTTTTCCTCGGATTATCATCGCGATTCTAACTTCTCGCGTTAGTAAATCCGACGATCGTCCGATTCTACTACTACTTGAGCGAGTCGATGTTAGTGAGAAATGCAATAGACGCCGCGACAAGCATCGGCTGTGTGTACCGAAAATCAAGGAGATTGCTTTCTAATAACATACCATACATCCCGATGATCGCACATCGCTATTTCGGCACTCCCGATACTTATTTCTGCACCAGACTCACTTTTGATAGATAAAAGATGCGTAGAACGCGGAGCGATGTCGATCGCGATGCGTCAGTGGAGGCTGCTCGTCGCGAAAAGATCAATTTACAAGACGGCTATACAATCGTCGAAAGTGTGTACTGCGGTGTGTATGGTGGCGCGCTCGTACGCCGTCCTATCAGATCGCGGCTCCGCGATGTCACTCGATAGGTCAATAGTTACTAGAACTTTTCGACCAGTGATGCGACTCTGTAATTTCTAACGATTTTGTTATCGTTATGGATTTTCTACAATAAACCATTAATCATAAGCTACAAGCAAATTAACCAATCACAGTTAATTATTTTCAAAAATAATCGATTATGGCTGGTCAACTTGCCTATTTATGATTATTATCTTATGACTAATATCTTAGGGTCGATTATTCTAACTTCTATAAGCTACTTGACAATTAAAGAAAACTTCGTTTTTCTTCAAATTAGAGACAGATACTGATTTAACTGTTAGGTAGCATTACCAAGAAATTGGGACAATCGGCCCTTATTACAGAAAGCCTATAATATATAGTAGAAAAACAACACAACGACACGCCATGGTAGTGACATTGTCGTTAGAATGTTATAAAATAAGGCTGCAGAATCGCATGCGTATTTAGTCGCATATTGCTCACGACTGTTGATTTATCCAGAAAGCGAAAACTTAATTCGATGATAAGGCCGAGAACGTATAGAAAAATTTAAACAGTAGGATGTAAGTGGTAAGCGAATTGACCAATCACAGTCGCTGATTCTTGGACCATAAGAAGAATCATCGACTGTGATTGGTCAATCTGTTTATTGCTCACATCTTACTACTTAAGTTTTTTGTATACCTTACTGTTGAATCACACGTTATCGCTTCCTAGATAAATCAACAGTCGTAAATAATGTACAGCTAAACACGAATGCGACTCTGATTGAGAAGTTCTAGTAACTATTGATCTATCGAGTGGCATCGCAAAGCCGCGATCCGATAGGACGGCGTACGAGCGCGCAACCGTACACGCCGCAGTGCACACTTTCGGTGATTGCGTAGCCGCCTTGTACATCGATCTTTTCGTGACGAGCAGCCTCCACTGACGCATCGCGATCGACATCGCTCCGCGTTCTACGCATCTTTTATCTATCGAAAGTGAGTCTGGTGCGGAAATAAGTATCGGGAGTGCCAAAATAACAATGTGCAATCATCGGGATGTATCGTGAGTACGTTATTAGAAAGTAATTCCATTGATTTTCGATACATATAGCTGATGCTTGTCGCAGCGTCTATTGCATTTCTCACTAACATCGACTCGCTCAAGTCGTAGTAGAATCGGGCGATCGTCGGATTTACTAACGCGAGGAGTTAAAATTGCGATGATAATCCGAGGAAAAAAGAAAGACAAAACGACACTAGAGATATACGCAACGTCGGATGTCGCGCGGTTGGTCCGTCAGCGAGAGTGAGAAAGACATAGCTACTAGAGCGCGTCCTTGTCGAACCGCAACATCGTTCACGTTTTGGCGCGCACTTTCGGCACTGCATCGGTGATTGCGCGACCATCTTGGATATCGCTCTTTTCACGACGAGCAGCCTCCACTGACGCATCGCGATCGACATCGCTCCGCGTTCTACGCATCTTTTATCTATCGAAAATGAGCCTGGCACGGAAATAAATATCGGGAGTGCGAAATATAGCGATGTGCGATCGTCGGGATGTATCGTGAGTACATTATTAGAAAACAATCCTCTTGATTTTCGATACACACAGCTGATGTTTGTCGCGGCGTCTATTGCACTTTTCATTAACATCGATTCGCTTAAGGGGATGCTGAAGCTGAAAACTTTATCGATAGAATACTGACATTTTTCTGCAAAATTTACGTCGTATTGGTTACACAGAATTACAGATATTTTTACACAATGAAAGTACGTGCAAAAATAAATAGAAGTATTGCTCGATATGTGACGAAACAAACGAGAAATTTTTAATGTAAAATCTCAAGCTGTCAGCGTAATATTTGCCTAATCCAAAAGTTCCGCAGCTTGTACATACTGAAAGTGTGGATGCTCCAAACAGAAAAATTTTGAAGAAAATTGCTCTACCTTCGCATCTGCATTTGGAAGCTTAAAAATATCGAAAAAATTTGCAGAAATATTTCTACACATATATGGTTAGGTTTTCCATTAAATATGGTAAAACAAAGCAACACACACTTATGTAAGTTCTGTATATACATGAAATATATTTTTTTATTTTGGACATTATGCTGTCTGGAAAGCTTCCAAATGAAGCTTTCCAGATAGCATAATGTCCAAAATCGGGTCATAAGACGACTTTAAAACATCTTTGAAACATCTTTAAGACAAGTTTATAAGATATTGTCTTAAAGATGCTTAAAGACGTCCTAAAGACGTCTTATAAGTCAATTTTAGACATTTGTGCTGTCTGGATTAGGAATATCGAAAGAGTTTGTAGAAAGATTTTTATATATATGATTAAGATTTTTATATATATGATTAAGTTTTTTATTGAATATGATAAAACAAAGCAACACACATTCATGTAAGTTCTGTATATACAAGAAATACGAAAAGGATAGTGTGATTATGTTAGTGACGATCGTCACTGCATTATCGACATTGTTCGAATTCGTCATCGACTCCAGCATCCCTTGAGATTGTTCAAGTATACTTGTAAAATTGTCCGAGATATTCCTTTTTTATGAGGATTAATAAATAATCGTATAATAAATGAAGAAATGAAGCATGCAGATAAAACAGACTTATTTGATCATTTTACCATTTATTATATGACTATTTATTGATCAGCAAAAGAGAGGAATACCTTTCGGACAATTTCACAAATGTGCTCAAAGAATCTTAAATGCTCCATATTTATCTTTACTCAGGAATAGCACGTAACCTTCGTCAGTGTATCATTTCTCGCTTCTCACGTCACAAATCCGACATGGCCGGTGAGATATAAGAAGCTTTAATGGCAAATTTATAGCATTATTTTAAATAATTATCTATAAATTATATTCTACTAACTTCTTCTAACTATTATCTATAAGCTATCTATAAACTCTGACTCTCTCACTCAAAATCGAGATATAAATTCTTTCTTCTAGAGTTCTTTTTAACGAAGTTCTTCTCGATAGGTAGAGAATTAATGCATCTAATTATTCAAGTCGTCCATTAGGAATCATTTACTTTGCTCTCGATATTCTCGACCAATTAATGTATTTTCGTCAATACTTCTCGAAAGTCGAGCTCGATTATTCGCCTCGATATTCCGGCTCTTCGCGCTTGCAACTCCAAAGCGCCGGAATCGGTAGCGCCGATAAAGTTTTCGTTTTCACGCGAGACTTACTAGACACGTCCCCATGCAAGGCGATGCGCACCGGCACGGCAGCGAGTTCAATAAAATCGTAAACACGGCAGTTACACTGACAACGTCATAAAGTTGGCCGACGCGTGTAACGAAGGACGGTTAAATGTTGCGCGCGCGCTTCTTTAAGAACCGGACTAATTGTGCGCGAGCGAACGTTCGAATAGGAGAAATCAAGACGAGAACGCGATACGGAAAGAACCTCGTCGCCAATGTATGTCGGGAATGCAGAGAGAGAGATGGAGAGAAAGAGAGGGAGAGAGCAGACCCGGTATAATCTACGGTGACGTTCGAGTCGGACGGTCCCAACCCGTCATTATCGGATTAACATTAAATGCGATGTCTTTTATAAATCGTAATAACGGCCTTTCGGTTTCGTCTAACTAGCTTGCTGAACAGAAGAATAAACGCCTCGGCGGACGCGTTTTATACGTGCGTGTGTATGCGACGCACTCGTGTGAATTATTTTATTCTTCCACGCGCGTTTTCGCGCAGATACGATTTCGCGTGATACAGGCGCGTGGGAAGAATTTTCATTGTTCGAAGACTTCGTGCGTGTGTATGTCACGATGGCATGGGTTCTCTCTTTCTCTTGGGGAAACAAGAGAGAGAGAGAAAGAAAAAGAGAGAGAGAGAGGAGGAAAGAAAGAGAGATGATACTAGATCTATGATACGAACGAGTAACGTTACCCGGCTATATCCGCTATCAGTTATCGGCTAATTAGCAGGCGTATATGTATATATACATATGCGTGCGTGTGTACATATACTCACGTAATTTTTCCACGTCGTCGTCCTTACTGCACGACGTTGACACGTATCTGTAACACAAAACGACGAGGGTCATTATAACACGATATAATAACGTGGCTCGAGCACGCAGATTTTTGTATGCGGCGTATGCGTGTATGTATGCGTGTATGTGCACGCGCGTGTGCACTCTTTGAAGATCAAATCTTGAGACTGCGCGAGCTACGAACGCACGGGCAATAATGACGCTTAAGTTAAGTATATTCCCTTAATCGCCTGCATTTATTTCATTATAATCCGGTCCGCGCGGACGGTGGTATACCGCGCATATTTGCGTTAACTACTCGCATTACGTTTGTACGGCGGAGACATAACTTCTCCATCAGACGGACATACTTGCGAATAGATAGCATCGTATAACTCTCACTCTCTCTCTCTCTAAGCGAAAGAAAAGAACATAAATGAAGAAAAAAAAATGAGCGATAATGTTGTCTTCTCTTTACGTATTTGCAGCATATATTTTTTGCATCAAATAGAAATTTATACGTAGGGGAACCGGGTGTTTAGTTAACCTCAAAGATCATGTTGGCCATGTGTTTTGTTTATGTAGTTATCGTGAGAGAAATAATGGAAATGAAATCGCAAAATATTCCTTTTAGAATGTAGATACTTTTTTTTAGTTCTATTAAAAACTGAGAATATTATAGTTAAAAAGTAGAAAAAAAAGTTATTCAGAAGCGGTCAGCGTATCGAAATTTGGTATTAATGTGCGTCATTGTGAGTGAATAAACTTAAATGTTATTAGAGCGAAGTTTCCTGCAAATGTATGAACACAGTTTTGGTTAAAAAGAGCAATTTTCATTAACAAAATGTTTGGAAAAAGTATTTTAAAAAATCGTCAGGATTGTAGTGACTAAAACTAGTATCAGAATATATCGTGGCGAACTTATCCCGAGTCTCTAGGCAACTTAGTCCTAGCACAGGGCAAGTTAGCCATCACTTTAAAAAGTCGAGACTGTAGGAACTGCTTGTAACGACTTCGGAACTACTAATCGGGATATGTATCATATGGCCAACTAACCCCGAGTTGGTAACCAACTTGCCCCGTGTCACGGAAAGTCGACCACTACTTTAAAAAGTTATCAGGACTATAGGGATTCTGGTATTACTAGTTAGAATATATGTTGCGTGACCAATTTATTTCAAAACGACTGCTAAACGACTTATCGGTGCGCAAGCTAGTTACTATTTAAAAAAAAGTCGTCAAGGCTGTAAAGACCATTCGCGGGGACTTCGGAAATACTAATCAGGACATATGTAGCCTTCTTATACTGAGCCTTCTTATACTAGCCGACTTGACTTGGTATCAGATCAGTTTAGTCACATACAGCATAATCGTATTTCAGTTATTAGAGAAGGAAATATATATAGTTTATAGGATCATTGCAAGTATATAAACATAGAGGAAGGTTGCTTCTATCATGTTTGCACATTCAGTTACAACAATTAGTTGTCTGAGAACATGTAACTTCGAAATTCTGAGAAATATGCCAATTAGCTCTAGTTTTCTCTAATAATAACAACGATACTAACGCAGTAATAATAATAAATTACTTTAGATTAGATTTATCTAGTCTCAATAATTTACTTGGTGCATTTTTGTTATTAGCGTATTAAAGGTATCAGTGATACTCTCGCTTCGCTCGTTCGATCATCCATGATTCGTGTCGAAGATGCGGATATGTCGTACAGATTATAGAATGAGCTTTTGCATTCAAGGGATTTCGCCAATCCCTTCTCTATACGTAATCCCATTATCGGGCATTTTCCTTGTACTGCAAGTGTTGCGCGTACGCCAGCAACTATGTGTGCTTTTCGATAAAGTACGAGCCTTTGAGAATATCGTTAATACATTTTTTAATTTTACAACATTTTGAGAACTGTTAATATGATATACATATATAGTAATCTGCTCATATATATTGCATTAAATTAAAAATTTCACGAATGAAAATTAGTTTTTCTCTTATTTTTACATACAATGAAGTCCAAGTTAATACTACATGAGATACGTAAATTGCATTTTATTCGATACTTCGTACAAAAAATATACGTTTCTTTACTTTTCAAATTAATAAGGTCCGTCTTTAAAAAGAAAATCATATTAATTAACGATTATTCTGCATTCTGCAAAGCTTCTGGTTATTCCCTTTAGGGTATTCCTCGCGAGGGGCAAAATAAACCTCGAACATGCACATCGCGTTCACAAATTATCGCGAACCCACGCTCGAAGAGATTACCAGCTCGGACCTTCGGAAATAATTATCATCTTCCCGGGATTAATGCCGAAAACAAGCTCCTAAAAACGAACGATACGGCTGGCTGGTTGGTTTAGTGGAAAGAGGGGGAAAGCGAAATTCCACTTCGCGTTCTCGAGTCGATCGCGAGGCAATAACGTCCGTACGACGTGTGTATAGCCCGGTGCTCGTGCGCGCGTGAAATATGAACGTGTGCGCGTGCTGAGCGCACAGGCTGTGGCCGCCGCCAGTGCATCGCCGTGGAGGCCCGATACGGTGACACGTATCGAACGCATTGATTTTCCGTGGCTAACGTCTCACTCTCGCGCTGCCGCGCGTACATACCTGCGCGCGTGGACGTGTAATAGGGCCCCGAGGGACCCGGGCTCTTTTCGGGGGTTCCTGCTCTACCCGGCATCGGGATCGACTCGAATTAAAGGGGAACGACCCGGGAGTGGTGCCAACTTAATGAGGGACCACCGAGCTTTAACTGTTTGTTTTTCGAGGGAGACCGGGCCCCGGGAGAAAAAGAGGAAGAGAGAAAGAGAGAACCCGCTCGCCTCAGACCCGCCGGAGACCCATATATACGCGTTCACGGTCAGACGGCCCCGTTTATAGCTTGTATCGCTAGCCCTATTGCCATAACTTCCGCGATTTGGGCGTGAAATTACACGCGCAGGAATCGGCACGAGAGGATCGTCGATAGTTCGATAAAGGCGTTCGATCCGTCGTTTCACCCTCTCTTTCCCTCTCTCCCTGCTCGTTGCTCGCTGGTCCTTTTTGTCCGAGTTCCCGTTCTGCGCTCGATCAAGCTCGATGCCGAGCAATTTGTTACGTTATCTGGTGTGCGTTGTAATTTACAACGGCGCGATACGCGCTGTTTTTCGCGCCGGAGAAAACCATTCAATCGATATGTCTCGATGGCACGCTTTCGGGAAAGCTTTGAGCCTCGCCTCTTCGCTATTTTCTCAGAAAATAATTGTCGGTTTTTAGCTGCGATAACAATTACTTTCGCAATCCAATAACTTATAATAATTATTTTGTACGTGATGTATGTGTATGATATAAGTTCGATGTGTTCGAAGATCCTGCTAAAATTGATATTTCGCGACAGTTTGTGCGAGGATAATCCAGAAAATAAAGACTGTTTAGCTTAAAAAAATTAAAAGAACATTTTATTATTCAATTTTATATATTTTTTAAACACACACACTTTATTTTGTTTCTCCACATAACCACTTCTTTCATTTAAATATTTATCGTGTTCGTTCACGAGGTCGATGTTCGTTATATACGTTTGTTCGTCCATTATTAAACTTTTCATATCACTTTCGCGCATTTCGTTCATTCATTACCGTATCATCATATATTTATTTTAATTGAAAATAAATATCGACAGCTTAAGCTTAAGCTACAATATGTTCTTTGCATTCTGTTTCTTGTCCTCTGTCTTTTTTTGGCTTAAAGCCTAATCTACAATGTGCACTTTGCTTGTGTTTCTTGTTTTCTATCTTTTCTTAGTTTAAGGTTTGAATCAGAAAGATAAATAAAAAATAACAGAAAGCAAATAACAATATAGATCAAGCTTTTGGCTTAAAGTTTGAGTCAGAAAGAGATAAAGAAACAGGGAGCAAAAAACATATTGTAGGTGAAGCTTTATTTTCTAAACATTTAAGAATCGAATAACATTACGTATTTCGGATTTTGTATAGTAAGATTTATTTTAACGACGCACAATGTTCACAAAAATACGTATTAAGGCACATAACTCTTGAAATACTAAGAAAACAAGTTAGGAAGACGGACTAACCTTAAATTAGGGAGAGGGAATGACCTGCACAGTAACTATGCGCAAACGGTCTTTACTTTCTGAGTTATCCTCATATATTCTTTCTATTGAGACATTTGTTCTATTTTAATTGGATTATCATTATTGCTATATAAATTATCTTAAGACTTAAATTGATTCAATTATATTCAAAAATTGGTTTCAAAATCGATTGTATTTCAAAAATCGCGTCGAAAATCGGTTTTTGCTTAACTTTACAAAGAGCTTGTGCATAATCTCAACGCTCATTATTACCGTATGTCTCGCGTTTATTTCACATTTACGTTGAATGCGATAATCTTAATAAAGAGATTACTTATTAATTATATACTCGAGATACATTATCTCTCTCTGGAAGTAGTCAATCGTACGTACGACTACGCAGAGCACTTGGTGTGTTCTGTCTACAATCATACGGACATATCACTGAAACGTATAAAAGATGTATAAAGGTTCACACTGACGTAAAACAGTCAGAATAGCTCGATTGACATTTTGATGAAAGTTTAAATAACGAGCATCTGCAGAGAAATTTACGCGTTTCGGCGAACGCTTGAAGGTTATAGGTCGTTACTTATCGGAGGATGAGCTATCGCTTTAAGGCGAAATTAATCCGAGAGCCACCGATAAAACAAAGAGCGCGAAGAGGAGCGATAGAAATAGAAAGAGGGAAGATAGAGACAAGGACCGCTCAAGCATACGTGATAACGCGTTCCGTGAAAAATATACATACGGCGCTCGGGCACGATTTAATTTATTGCTGACAGAGGGTGATGTGGAAAAAGCCGTAATGATATGACTCTTCTAAACGTTGCGCTCGTTTTCGTGTAGCTCAACATCGTGTTTTTCACGTTCACCGTATACCTATTACGTCCAATTACGTTGTCGAACAGAAATGTGGTAGCAATTGTGAGAAAGAAATTATTGCAAAATAATTCTTTATCGT